GGTTGGGGTGGTTTCGGTAGGATGTAATGTCACTTATACAACTCTATTGTTACGGAGATCTCCTAGGTGTATGCGTGACGACGCATTAGATGATTGATATGCATTGATATCTGTCATGAGATGCATTTATTGCATGATTATTAATATGATGAAGTGTGGTGTTTGACTTCATGATTGGTGAATTGTATTTTGTACATGAGTAGTATTGGATAGGGTGTATGGTGTGACTCTATGAATATGATTGATGGTTGGATGATTGCATAGTATAGATTATTGTTCTATACTTGTATGACTGATTTGTGAATTCTAGCTTACCCTTCTGTTTCCATGTGGTGGAACTGCGATGATCATACTTGGTATGGGAGCAGGTCGGGGCTAGCTTGGAGTTGAGGTGACCGCTGCGAGACGGAGAGTTTGATCCTCGTGTTAGGGTTACCATTTTAGGTAACGGTTTTGTCTGTGCTTGACCGGCATTAGGAAATATTATTTTTAGGATGACTGTACATATATGACGTTTTATTTTGTATTTAAAAAATTTAGTTATTTTTTTATTCGTATCTATATCTGTATGTATGAGTTATCCAACTTAATATTTTCTTAGTTCACTAATAATAGTGCGATTCCACTAAGTGTAGAGACTATGACGGGTCGTTACAAAGGTCAATAAAAACTTGTTTATTTTTTGCACAACAAGCACCAAATAAACTAGATAGGTAATATTTCTTTCTAAAATTGGTTATACTTAAATGTAAAATAAAAATAGTTACCTAAATCTCCCTTTATCATATCTTAACAAATTTTAACGTCTACATGATCTCTCTCTCTATATATATATATATGCATGTGTATATTTTCTTTGGGTTAAGTTTCTAAATTAATTCTTATCTTAACACATCGCATGAAAATAATTAATAAAATAGATATTTTTTTTAAGTTATATTATGTGTATTTATTCTTAATTTTTAATACGACAATGATATTTTTTTTTATATAGGTTGTTTACTCAATTTTTTTGATATCAGTATCTAGCATCGGAGTTATATGGTGCTTAAAATTTTTCTAGTTAGATAATTTTCTTATGATTAATATTATTCATTATGAGATTTTTTTTCTTATTCTTATTGAGAATTTTTTGTCCTGTTTTAAGCCATAAGTTTTGTTTTATTTAGGAATGTTCGAGTTTCAGGAATTATTATATAAAAATAATTTTATCACCAATGAATATACAATAATGGAGTAGTGGAATAGAGATGAATAGTCAAAACATATAAATAAAAATCATTGTTGAAAGAATATTATCATATTTTTTTAATATGAATTGAAATAAATTTTAATTACAAAATCATCAATAATTAATATTTAACTGCTAATTAAATGTAATTCATAACCATGTGTTAATAATTATCAATTATAACAATTAAGTGTATTTTATAACTATCAGTTAATAATTATCTATAGGTTTTAAAATTTTATTATGACAATTTTCTAAAGAAATAAATATTTAGTATATGTTTTATTGATTTAATACAAGTCGTGTATTTGGATTAAAAAAATGAAAGCAAATTATTTATATTTAAAATGAGATGTGTTAAGAAATGAAAATGTGTAATTTGAAATAAGATAAATTTATATTTTTATAATACATAGTTAAAAGACTAATATATAACCTATATCCATTAAAAAAAACTACACAATTCATCAATAAACTTCGATTTAAATTAATTTCCAATTTTCAAATCATCCAATTTAATAATATGAAATTTTATCATTTGAGACATGAGAAATTTTCTAGATTTTTTTATCAAGTATTGTAATATCATTCAATAAATATAAAACTCATCCAATATATTTTCATGCTATTGATATGTCAAATAATTGTATAATACAAAATAAGCATTTTGCAAATTTAGTGTCATTTAATCTTTTCTTTTAAATTTCATATATTAATTAAAGTCATCATTATATATATTTTAAAAGTAACGTAAATATAATTACCAATTGAATACGTATTTAAATCCTTTGTTACCTTATCATATTAATTATTCTATAAAATTTTACATATATATTAGAATGTATTCTACAATTATAAATTCAATTTACTCCACTTTTTTACACACAAAAAATACAACAAATTAAAATTAAATATCAAAATTTTTAATATATGTATCTATTGATTTACCAACTCGTGCATTGCATGGACTAATATCTAATATAACGAAATTCAGCTATTGTATGTTGTGTTTATAATTACAGATTACTTCAATAAGTGATTCAATTATGTTTTTCAACAAGTAAAGAGTAATATTAATTATAACTAAATTGATTTAGGCTCCTTAACTAAGGATTAAATGAAAAAAAAATTGTACATGCAGATTTTTGAAGATAAAAATTGTTATAAATTTTAAATGAATAATTAATTGAGTATTTACTTAATATCTTAATAAAGACGTGAGTACTTATAATTTAAAAATAAAAAATATTTTTAATTATTATAAAGTAACTTAGTTTAATTTATTTTTTTACTAAATATATGTGTTATAATTATTTATTTTAGTATGAATATATGTTACGAAATTATATAAATATATGCTTTAAAATAATTTACTTTTAATTTTATTTTATTGTTACCTTTTATTTAAATTTTATATTTTCTAAAATATCTAAGAATACTTGTAGATATATAAAAAAATCATGGATACTTGATAAATAGATACTAACACTAAACAAGAGAGATGATAGGAAGCTATTACTCATCCCTACGTCACCATGTTGCCATCTCTGCCAAGGACTCGTATTTAATCCTTGCTTGGTTATGGAGTTATTGAAGGTATTGCTTTACTCCTAAAAATCGATCCCTAAAAAAGAGTTTTACCTTTTTTATCATAAAGAAATAAATAATAATAATAATAATAATAATAATAATAATAAAAAAGAGTGAATAATATTCAATATCACTAATAATGTTTTTAAATAATCATTTAACATTATGTCAATAAAAAAAATCATTTAACATGTTATAGTATGATGCATCATTTGTACATTAATTATAAAAAATTTTAAAAAAATTATCATATAATGAGATACACCTTATAGTGACATAATATTTGTCACTAAAAATTATTTTTAACTACATGTTAGTATATTGTTAAAAAATATAAATATAAATTATAATGACACACAATATATGTGATTAAATCTTACTCAAAATTAATATTAAATTTGTGCATAACTATATATCAAATAAATATATATATATATATATATATATATATTATTTATAATAACATTTTTTTATATATATTATTATATGTAATTTCATTTTTTTTTGTAATAATTCAGTTTTATTGATAGGCTGAGCCTAAAGGGTCCTCAATTTCTATTCAATATTATGATTATTGTCTATTTCATTAGTCTATGTTTCGTTTGTTCTCGTTTAGTTTGATGGGCTCCTTTAAAAGGATTGAGAGTGAACACAAAAGCAAAAAATGCAACAATTTTTTTATTTTTTTTTAAATGTGATTCAGCGAATGTGATCTGCGTTGATGAGAGAGCAACCACCACTATACAAAGAACTGAGATGAATATTTTATAAAAGGACCACCTTTATTATGGATAGAAAATTTAAATGGAATACTTTTTTTAAAAAAAAATTTTATATCTTGAAATAAAATATTTTATTTGGATGATTTTTTTTATTAAGAATTTGAAATTCAAATATTTATAAAAATTTTAAAAATAGTATATTTTCAATTTTTTTTAAAAAGATAAGAATTTAATTTTTTATATTTCTTGCTTTCTTATGTCATCTATATAAAAAGAATATCAATATTTTTTAATTATTAAATATTAAAAAATAGTTTAGTTCAGTTCGTCTGAACTAATATTTAGTTTAGTTTAGTTCATGAGAACTACTTTTAAGTTTAGTATAGTTTTTATAAGTTCAGTTCAGTTCAGTTTATTTTGCACACCCCTATTTACCTATATATCTTTTAACTCTCTCTTATCTCTTAATTATTGAATACTTAAAAAATATTTTTAATATTATATAATATTAATTTAAAACTATTAAATATTTATTTTTATAAAATTTAATCTTAAAATGTCTCTATATATATATATAAAATTAATTTTATTCATAATGAAAATTAAATTATCATATTTAAAATAAAATTTTAAATTAATTTATTCAAACAAAATATTTAAAAATAATAATAATAATTTAAATTTTTAATTTAAATTTTAAAATTTTAAAATTTTAAAAATTTATCATCCAAACACACAGGACTATGATTTTAAACCCCGTAAATCACTCTAACAGACCAACCGTTTAATGTTCATCTTGAATTGTTCTTGTGGGATCTAATTTTTGGCTTTCTTTTTTCAGGACCAACAACTACCAAAAAAGAAAATAGGTGCATCGATTAGCTTTTATCAGAATTTTCATCCCTTCTTCCCCATCCCACTTTTGAATATGCAGTGTTAAGGGAATTCCAAGTTTGAGCCAAGAAAAGTTGTAAACCAATACATAAACAGGCACACACGTTGTGGAAGATTGTCGCAACAAAGTAATGGAAAATGTAGGTGTACAAGTAAAAAAGAAGAGAAAAAAAAACACTAAATATGATAAATAATATAATGAAAAATAAGAAACATATAAAAAATAAGATAAAAATAAAATAGAAGAGAAAATGAGTGCATACTACATAATAAAAATAATAATTCCAAAATAAACAACAGTGGACAACTACATAATAAGAAAAGAATTCACCTCGCTGTAATAACAAAGAAATACTCGGTTATCAGAAAGTTCACGCCCCAATTTAGACTTTGAAGCTGAGCCAAGTATACATATTATGATTCATGCTAGCTTCTCATGTGCCTTCAGTTCTTTTCAATTGTGGAATACCAAAATCTCAATTTAAGGAAGGTATTCAAGTCGATCAACAAAGGCAGATTTCAATACATGTAAATGTCTGCAAACCCTGTTTTGGAGTAGAAAGAAATAACTATTTAACTTGTGGTGATAAGTGGGCTAGTGTAACAAAATATTAATAACGGCACAGATAGATGGAAATCTGGAGAAGAGAAGTAACCGTTTTATAATACATAATATTTGGTTATGCATACTTCAGTGCTGATTGGTTCAGATTTGAAGCATCATATTCATATCTGCCTTTATCTTAAAGTTTGATTCATGACCTTTTATCCTCCTTTTCTAGATTGTGCTATACTGTGCCAACTGCCAAGCACTCTTTGCTAGCTTTACCTTCCAAATACTTCCAATGTCTTCTAGAAATTTTGCATTCTAAGACGCATTCTAAACAATACATGGAAATATTTTACTGGGGTCAGTGTATTCAGGAGGTTCAATTTTAACCATACCATAAAGAAGCTATCCAAGTACTTGGATCATAGAGAATTAGCCAATATCAGCTTGTTTAATGCGTAAGTCTCTCCAAATTACTATATATGTAATTTTGATTCTCTTGTGATATCAGTATATATGTTCTATCATTGACCGGCACTAGGGCATAATATGCTCTCTCACAAGTTTTCTCTCCTTTTTATCAATCCTTTACATATTCTTCCACATGGGAGAGGGAGTAAATGGGGTTTGGAAGAAGTGAAAAGTAGAGATTCCGAAGATGAAATAATCTCAAAGATGAGACAGAAACTGATCGTGTAAATTGACCTGATGTCCATTTCAAGCAAAAACAATCGGCTGAAAAACAACTGAGGGTTCCATCATTTCTCTTTCCTGAAAATATCCAAGGGAGTCCTATAATATTAATTAACCACTTTTCATAAAGCATAGCAAACAAGTGGTTATAAGAATGATTTTACTTGTGTCATTTTCATAAGTATAATACCCTTAGAATATGGGACACGAACCTCAAGTCCTCTCTATCAATGAATTTCCCAGAATCATTCAGACAAAGTCATAAATCAGAAACGGTTCTCAACCTCAAGGGCACCTTCTACTATCCTCGTACTCATTTTGAAAGTCTGAAACCCTTTCAGACCCTCTTACTATATTAACAATATTGAGCAGATACTAATAACTTTTGTGGTCAAATTTTGAATAAAATAATGCCTTTAAATCACCAGATCTATCTACTTTAATTTTACTCCTTTTTCTAGTTTATTCTTGGTAAATTTGGAGCGCAAACACTTATAGGGAAATGGAGGTAAGTACGTTAATTCTGACCAAGGAAACCAATTTAGAAACTCATACTACCTTTGTTTAAATTTTAATTAACGTTACAGATTCGACTCAACCTCCGTACGTAGATCTAGATCTGCATAAGAACTGTGTTTGTGTGTGTGTATATTCTACAAAAAGAATAGCATATGTTGGCATGTTGCAGTATATATATTGAGATAGAAGGTCATGAATAAGCAAAATGGATTCAAAGAAGAGGCAAAGATCTTACCCTTTATGATAAAAAAAAAAAACTTGGAAGCACAAACAGCTGCTGCAACCTCACTAGATGACCACATACAAAGTTACAAACAGCTTGAGTAAAGTGAAATCATGGCCAATATGGCATTCACCTGCAGATGTACCTGCACCTCATTCTCAGTTCCTCTATTCCTATATACATTTCACTTCTTTCTGAACTGACATGTGTTCTTATATATGTTACAGAGAAACTGAGTAAAGTGCAGGTGCAAATGCAGATAAAGGCAACATATAGGCATCAACTTATACAATGACCTGCCATATAGCAAGTTAAGAAGTTTGCTCCCAGCCAACTATTTTTATAATAAAAAATTCCTAGTGAGAGAGAGAGAGAGAAGGGTTCACTCAAATCACTAAAAATTTTGGACCAATTCTTGCAGACATGATCTATCTAGATAAATAGCATATGTCCCTCATCCCATGAAATAATAATAATATTCACACATTGTGCTATTGTTTTATTTTTGTCCTTTGGTAAAAGCAAATATGAGTGAGAAAGCATAAGCAAAGGAAAAATGATGATTAGAGGTAGGTTTATGAGTGGATAAGAATGGGAATATTATATATTATATATGTATGTCTCTATTATTATTATTATTATTATTATTTATGGTTTTGTTGTGATATCTAAAGCTAGGTAGCTAGAAAGAGGTGTGCGGATGTCTGCCACACAACAAGCTGGTCTAAGGCCACGTGATGCAAACCATCACCAGCACGTGGGATTTGATATCCCAACAAATTGGACACTGCCACGTAAGATATTGTACTGACACTTCACTTGCCATGACTATGTCTCCTTGTGCCTATTCTGATTTGTGCAACCAGAAAAGAGAAACACTAACTGACAAAATATAGATACAGTACTATGATATTTTTTTTTAATCTTATTTTCTAATTAATATATAATAGATTCATTAATATTAATAAATTTATGCGCGCGTTTTGTCCTTTTTTTATACAGTTTATTTTTAATAAATAAATAAATTAATTAAAGATAGTATAACTATAAAATATTGTTATATACATACCGAATAAAATGTTATCAATTTATTATATATATACTAATATTATAAGTGTGAATCAATAACGAGTGAAGTAAATGTACCTGCTTGAGGGTACACTCGTAGTCTTCTGGGGTGTAAGAGGGCCGAACGAGAGCTTTAGGTGGATTCTTTGGAGTGGGGTACCTGCAAAAGACACTCCAACGCTCAAGTCAGAATATGCACGATTTTCTAGGGTAATAAATGAACAGTGACCTACCTCGTTACGTGTGACCTATTTATAATACCTGACATGGGCCTGAGCATGGTGGGCCTTCTCTGACATTTACCAAATTAGGTAATACGATGTTAATCAGCTGATTATGTTTTAATCATGTACTTATCCTTACTAATCATAATCGTCGTTCTAGTAGTTCACCTAATGGCCGAGCCGAGACAACACGGCCGAAACGTCCTCTCTCGGCTTCTGGCCGAGCCGATAGGGGAAGAGCACAGTTCTTAGTCCCCTGTCGGACCGAAGTGGTATTTGAGCAGTATCATCTGATAGTATATGGCATGCCGGTCCACGTGGCCGATCCACGTGGCCGAGCCGAGATGTTACCTGAGCTGCGTCAATATCTGATAGGACATGACGTGCCGGTCCACGTGGCCGATCCACGTGGCCGATAGGGTCCTTCCGGTACACAAGCCCCCCAGCCTTGAGGAGTGTAAGGACGTAAAGGGTAAAAGTGACTTTACATGTTATGACGGTTGAGGTGGAGTGGGGAATTGTAACCGTCGGGCATTAATCGTGGGGTGTTAACGTGGGTATGCGGAGGGTTATAACCGTTGGGTTGATAATGGTAACGTAATGATGAGAGGGATTTGAAAAGTTGAAGCCCATGGATCGTTGGATCATATTGATCTGACGGTCCCTAGGGGAGTAGCGGTTACCATTTGTATTTTGGAAACACTATAAATAGGGGTGGTGGGGACCAAACCCTAATGTGTTTACTTGGTGATAGCGTGCAATTGCTTCGAGCTGACGTAAAGATCAACCTTGGTTGCGAGTTCTTGACCGAAGCCGACATCCGATTTAAGGTATGTTTTGATGGCTGATTTGAATATAGATGTAGAGGATAGGGTTTCTGAGGCGGGTTCTACTGGAAGTAGTAGAGCTATTTCTGTCGAGGTGGGTTCACGTAAGCCTTCTCACCCAAGGGTCTCAGACTCGGCAACACAGAGGTCGGTTAGCGTAGAAATTGTTGAGGGGTTCGAGCAGTCACGAAGTATGGAGGAGGCTTCTTCTCTCGAGGTGACCGAGGGCCGACCGAGTACTCGCCGAGTCGGTTCGACTTCGCGTCGGTTCGGCCCTATAGAAGTTCCTGGCTATAGGTGGGTTCATGGGGAGGTGGGGAGTGTATTTTCTCGGTATACTGACAAGAGCTCAATCGCTGTGCTGTTCGACACGGAAAATTTTGTTACGCTTCCAGAGCGTGAGGTACCATCTGGTTTCTTTTTTGACTCGTGCCGGAACGATGGGTCATGGGAATCGGATTTTGTTTTTCTTGGCCGAGGGAAGTGTAAATACCACTTCTTTTTTGTGTACGACTACTTGTTTCGTGATTTGGGGGTGACTCTTCCTTTTGACAAGTTTTTTATGGGTGTGCTCCGTTTGCTCAACGTTGCACCGACCCAGTTACATCCAAACAGCTGGGCCGCGATGCAAGGATTTCGGCAGTTGTGTCTGACACTTGGTAT